TATATAAAGACACAAAGATAGTACATATTAGAGAGTTCAAAGACCATTCAAGAGGGACTAAGGAGGTGATTGTCTGCCTGGTGAGGCCACAGCATGAGCTCTGTGTTCAGTTTTGGGCCACTTACTACAAGAAAGACCTTCAGGCCATGGAATGTGTCCGGAGAGGGGCAATGAAGGTGGAGAATGGTCTGGAATCCAAGTCTTTTGGGGAGTGGCTGAGGGAGCTAGGATTGCTTAGTCTGGAGAAGATAAGGCTCCAAGGGAGACCTTATCACTCTCTGCAACTCCCTGAAACATGTTTGAGGTGTGGTGAAGGTCAGCTTCTTCTCCCAGGGAAGAGTGATACAACAGTGATAGGAAAGGAGGTGATGGCTCTTAGCTGTTTCTAGTATAAATATCTTCAGGCTGACTCTGATTTCATTTGTTTTCTTTTTTTTTGTACATCATCTGCTCATGTGGCCTGCATTTTATTTAATCTTGCCACCTATCCGTGTGATGTAGAGTGTGGTCTCTCTTTTTCTACCACCGATAGGTACACCCCTCTGCCATTTATCTTGGATGAGAAGCAAACTCATACCTACCAGTTTCGATAATTTTACCTAGTCCTTGGCTGTCTTTTATGCTCACAGTGGCTTATTCCTTTGAAAACCTCAAAACCATTGCCTTCACCAAATCTGTTTCAGAAACTAGCAATCTGATTTTGGTTCCATAAACCTTGGATAAGACTCCTAGAGCATTTGGCAGTGGAACATACATCATGATTGTGTTTCTGTTTCAACGTGGTTTATCTGTAGTTATGAGTGTTTACGCTTGCACCTGAAGTGCATAGAAAAAAAAAGCACATGTTGGGAAAGGTAAAGGTAAGCAAGAGTAGGGAACTTGTTTTCCTTTATATCCTCCAGATCACACTCATTTCTCAGCTATATTGTCCCTATAATCTTGAGATCGCTACTCTTCATGGCTTTGGGGAGTTTTTAAAAAATAGTTTTGAATCATCACTTCATAATGAAAACAGAGATTTAAAAAAACTCCTTTAATAGTGTTACTGAAACTTCAGTCAGAAGGGGTATCCTCAGGCTAAATTGAAGATTCTGAAGTGGAAGATGAGTACCTGATGAGTATGTTTCACTTCACCGTATCATGTCATGCTCCGCCATGCCAAGCAGCAGCAGATGAAATATGAAGCCTTTTGTCTGGCTTTGTCCTCTGAAACCAGAGTTACTGTCCACTTACTGCTCAGTAGACTCTGAACTATTGTTGTTAGGAAGAAAGGAGTATGTTGAAAGAATTGTTCTGAAAAGTTTTCAAATTAAGCCTAAGAATTGTCTTCAAATTTCTGGATGTTGCCAAGGAGAGGAAAATGTTTTCTTTCCTAGCTCTCTCCCCTTTTCCATTTTGCTTTTTAAACCTGAAATACATTTGTTTACCTTCCATTCCAATTTCACTAAAATTCAGTCTACTAAATACAACTTGTGCAATATCCTGAGTGTGAAAAGAAATCAAGCGATGTGAAATATATGCCTTCAGAACCTTCTTTTCTTTGACAGACTATACCTTTCTTTCCCAAGTGAATTTGAAAGCTATTGTATATCAGGTACACAAAACTGCTCACTGCTTGGATTTCTTTAATAGAAAAAGGAATCTTTAAAAGACACCCATCATCCATGGTAAGGACAGTAGAGGTTAGAAAAGAATGAAAAGCAAGTTACAGCAAAATTAATCTAAAAAAATGAAACAAATGGGAAAGATAATAGCCATGGAAGTGAACGGGGGCACGCGAAGAAATAATCAATCCATTCTCCCTGAGAAAAGCTGACGGTGGGATGTGATCTTCTAGAATGAAAAGATGTGCTCAGTTTTTTTAATGAAAGATAAAGAAGAATATGCAGCAATAATAATAATAATAATAATTAGACATCTCAGAAACATAGCCTACAAGCAAAGTCTGGAAGTTACAGGCACGGGAATGCTAAAAAAGGGTTGTATGTGAGCAGTCATCAAATTAGACAAAGTAGGATGTAAAAAGCAAGAAAAAATATCTTACCGTGAGCTAAACTTAGAATATCCGTAGTGCCTGACAATGCTAAAAGGTTAAAAAAAGCTGAAACGGAGCACTCAGTGTTTCTTAGTGGTTGCTGAGTTTATCTTTTTACATATCTATTCATTTCACATAATAACCAGCACAACTGGAGTGGTATTAAACCAGGAAATTGAAGCAAAACTGTCTGATCTCAGGTTTTAGCATACTGTGTACTCTATTTAGAAAAGTCTGATGAGCAGATTAACATCTGTTTAATACATGTAAAATGCAGTTTTACTCAACACATAGTAAAAGAAAAGCTCAACATTCCTACCTATGATGAAGATAGGAGATTATGGAATTGCTAGGTATGAACAGTATTCGTATGGTGAAATTTCTCTAGTATAGACTTAGGTTTTACTTCTGCGTCCCATTACTCTGCTTACCATAAAGAAACACTGTTCAGATAAGTAGCAGCCATCATATTCTGACTACTTTAGAATATTCAGAATTTTTAAATCACCAGACAGTAACTCACTTTATCTTTGACAGGATACACTGGCAGTAGGCTCACAGAAGTATGAGACTCGGTGAGCATATTGATTTGAAGACATTTGTTTATTCTGAAAACCACATTGGCTTTTGCTGAGAAAGTGCAAACTAAGGATCAAATGCTTTCTACAAAGAAATGAGGATCGGGAAAATTTATAAGAGGACTTAGGAAGTCATACACTTTCTTTTACCATCAGTATCGAAGAAGGAACTGCATTAACAGTAAATACCAGTGTTGTTTTTTTTTCTCTCATTCGTTAGTGTTCTTAGTGACTTTCTCCTCTACATAATTTGCAGTCTTAATTAAAACAAAACAAAACAAAAAGAAAACCCTCTAGTTTACAGAATAAAAGAAGATCTGTTCACTTAGCACACTAAAACCAAGAATTTCAAGACTTCCATTATTGCAGGCGGAAGCTTGTTATGAATGTGTTTTTGTTTCTTGGAGTTCCTTCACTGAAATAGAATTCAAAACCCATGCTGCGACACTGCAATATTGTTCACTGCAAGAAACTAGTTTGCTCTGCCTCAGAGGCAGTGCGTTTCTCTGTTGAATTACAACGCTTGTTCATGTCCTTGAAATGTTTCCGAAAGAGATGGATTTCAATGCAGCTCCAGTAAATCTGGCTAGAACGATTTAATTCTCTCCCTTATGCAGCAAGACAACATTTCCATTAGAACTTTCATAGGCTCATTTGACTAGCAGGTAATGATGGACATAGTATCAAATCACAAGCAAGTCCAAGGTTCCGCAGTGAACGTGTCCTGTTCCTGGTAAAGGTGTGGGCGTTCCTGGACACAAAGGTATCTATCTTCATGCCTTCCCCATGTGCCCAGTCCCCCAGCAGATGCTGTTTGCCTTTTGGCCCCCCTGATTTGCTGCACTGCTGCGCCCTGATCCTAGCAGAGGGGTAAGTGACACCTTTGTCCCTTCCGGAAAGCGCTCTCCACTTTCCTCTCGTTGGTCATCGGCAGCACCGTACCTCTCTCGCCAGGCTCTCATTGGTCATCAGCAGCGCCTTCCCACCCTTGCCAGCCTGTGATTGGTCATCAGCAGTGCCCTCCTGCCCTCATGTGCCTCTCATTGGTCATCGACAGCACCGTCCCGCCCCCTTGTGCCTATTATCGGTCATCGGCAGCACCGTCCCGCCCCATCAGCCTCTCATTGGTCATCAGAAGCGCCATCCCGCCCCTGCCAGCCTCTCATTGGTCATCAGCAGCGCTGTCCCGCCCATCCAGCGTCTCACTGGTCATCGGCAGCGCGGTCCCGCCTCCATGTGCCTCTCATTGGTCATCGGCAGCGCTGTCCCGCCCTTGCCAGTCTTTCATTGGTCATCGACAGCTCCGTCCCACCTTCGCCAGCATCTCATTGGTCAGCAGCAGCCTCTTCCCCGCCTTTTACCCGCCTTCAACCCGCCTTTTCCCTTCACCTTCCCCCGGCCCCTTTTCCCCTTTCCTTTTCCTTCTTCTCATGTCCTGTTTTTTCCTTCCAGGTCCCCTTTTTACTGTCCCTTTCCCCCTTTTATCTCTCCTTTTTTTGCCCCTTTTTCCCCCGCTTCTCCTCTCTCCTTTTCTCCTCCTCATCTCCTTTTCTTTTTCCTCCCTTTCTCATTCTTCTTTTCCCCTTTCACCTCTTGTCTTCCTTTCCCTTTTGCCCCCTTTACTCTCCTCTTCTTTGCCCCCTTCTTCTTCTTTTTGCCCCCATCCCCACTTCCCCTTTCACCCCCTTTGCCCCTTTTCCTCCCCATCTCCCTTTTCGCCCCGTCCCCCTTTTTTGTTTTCCTTTTCCTCTTTTTCTCCCCCTTCCTTTCCCCCCTTCCACGCCATTCCTTGTTCCTTCCCCATCGTCCCCTTTTCTTCCGAAGCCGATTCCGTTTGCAGTGCAATGGCGGCTCCTGTGAGCAGCAGCGCTACATCTTGGCTCCCATATTGCCCGCTGCTGAGCTCTTCCTGCCCTGGCTCCTCATTGGCTGAGCGCTGCAGGTTCCCCTTTTTGGCAACGCTTCACCACTCGCACAAACAGCCAGCAGACGCACATCTTTGCCGCCCAAACACACGCAGGCCTTCATTGCTTCATTGCTTTCTCACCACTGCTCTCATCACGAACGTGCGGTCGGAACTTGCGGCCCTCAGGTTTTCAGCATCAACACAGACACAGCGTCTGAATTGCTTCATTCCCCCCTGCCATTCTTGCCCTTCCCGCTGCTCGTCGTTCTGCTCTTCCGGCTGTTTGTCCACAGCGCTGAGTTCGGCAGGAGGACAGAGGGGAGTAGCTGGGAGCCTCACAGATTCCTCACGTTCCCACGCAGCGGGACAGCGCTGCTGAGTGCGACGGCCCTGATTCCTGCCTCGTCCCCCTTTTTCCTCCCTTGTCCCCCTTTTCCTTTTTTTCCTCCCTCATCCTCCTTTTCCCTTTTTCCTCCCTCGTTCGTCCCCCTTTTCCCTTTTTCCTCCCTCGTCCCCCTTTTCCTTTTTTTGCCCCTCGTTCCTCTTTTCCTTTTGTCCTTCTCATGCACTTCCTGCTATCCTGCCTTTTCCCCGCTTTCCCTCATCTCTTCTTGCACTCTTTGCCCCCTTTTTCTCCCCCCATCCTTATTTCTCTTCACATTCCCCTATTCTTTTTTCCCCTTTCCTCTTCTTCATCCCCAGCTCCGCTTCTCCCCCACCTCATGTCCCCTTTCTTCTGTCCCTGTACCCCATTTTTCCCTTTTTTTCCCCACCCCTTTTTTCTCTCTTTTTTCTCTGTTGTTCCCTGTTCCCTTTTTGCTCTTTGCTCTCTCTCTCCTTTCTTCCCCCTCATCCTGTTACAGAAGAGAGTGAAGGAATGATGGACAAGGTGGTGCAGGATGACAGCAGCAGGGTGGAAGCACAGGTGGGTGCGATGAAGCCGGGGGTGGGACTGGGTGGAGCCAGAGCCCAGCCTGAGCTCATGGAAGGGCTGGGAATCGCAGGGCTCAGATGTGTGCCTGGGCTTCTGGTGTCAGTGAGGTTGGGTGAGCAGTGAGGTTTGGGAGGGACCGACTTGTTGGCCTTGAGATTGATGCCCAGCTCCTTGCTCGTCGCATTCTGCTCGGCTCGAGGTTCCGGACACAGCTTGCTCTTCTAAGCAGTGTGAGGACTGCGAGAAAGACTTTGTTGGATGCAGCAGGAAAGCACAGCCGCTGCTGGATGCCAGGGTCTGCTCCTGAGGCTCTGCGCCAAGGTACGTGGATCCCTGCCGTCTCCTGTTTCACACGCTCGCTGAGGTCCTCGGGCTTGGTGTCGCTTGTCCCTTGTGCTCACGTTGCTTTCACCGGGTGTTCTTCCTCTCCCCTTGCTCAGTTCTGCCCAGTGCTGATGGGATGTCAGTGCCACCTGCTGCTCTCAATAAAAGGTAGGTTTCATTTCTTTTGGTTTCCATAGCATTTGCTACACTCATTCAGTCTCTCTGCTTTTTTTTTCTTTTTGCTCTCAACAAATGGCAGGTTGAATTCATTTTGGTTTCTGTAGTATTTGCTACACTTGTGTTCTGTTTCTCTTCTCTTTTTTCCATGTTGCCTGGCGGTGCCTCGCTGGAGTTCCCATGACCCCCAGGCACACTTGTGACCAAGTGAGGTGCCAAAACAAGAGGTATCTCTTTTTTTTTTTTTTTTTTTCAAAATAAGAAGTTCCTCCTGTTGGTCATCGGCAGCACCGTCCCTCTCTCGCCACACTCTGATTGGTCATCGGCAGCGCCATCCCACCCTCGCCAGCCTGTGAGTGGTCACTAGCAGCGCCGTCAAGCCGTCTCCAGCCTGTGATTGGTCATTGGCAGCACCGTCCAGCCCTCGCCAGCCTGCGATTGGTCACCGACAGTGCCGTCCCGCCCCCTTATGCCTACTATCGGTCATTGGCTGCGCCAATTATCCTGCATTCTACAATATTCCAATTGCGTGTAGATCATTTTCTCAGTCATTCGTTGTATACAACCTCGCAAACATCGAAAGATACATGGCAAACACAACATTAATCCCAAAAATATAAACAATCCTATTACTAACGCTTTAAGCAACTGCTTAAGCCATGGCCCAATCCCACCAAACAAATTCTCCAACCAATTTCCGAAGGGATCTTCCTGTATTCCGATCTTTTTTGTATGTTCCTTTAACAGTTGTCAGTAGAAAAATTCAAAGGTACCCCTATAATGCACGTGCGGAATGGTGAAGTGGCCAATTGCATGCTTAGGCAGAAATCCGTCCTCCCTGTTTGGCGAGCCCAAGTAACCCACAAATTCCCAGGCTGCTGGATCAAGTGAGTACCTCCCACCGGCAACCAACACAGACAAAAGAGGCACAACGACATTAGCACAGTAATTCTCATTGGCAGCAAGGGTCCCTTTTCCTGGTCCTTTTCCTTTTCTTCCCCAACCCGAGCAGCTGCCATCACCGCTGTCCTAACCGCCGAGCTAACCGAAGCAGCCATCCCTTGCATGGCCGTCACTAAACCCTCATTGGTTAGAGGTGCAACCTTCTGGTGATCTAATACATACTTAATGAGTTCTCCTGGGGTATTCAAGGTCCCTGGTGCTGCCCTGATAATTTGCTGAACATCCAGCACCGATTTTTGTTTAAGGCAATCTATGACGACCAGAGGTTGAACCTCCTTGGGGAGGTCGGATCCTTCCACCACGCGAATCAAACGATTCGCAAAGTCGGAAAATGACTCAGAGGGCCCCTGTTTGATATCTGTCCATGGAAACACAGGCTCTGCGACCATAGCCACCGTTCGCAAGGCCTAAAGAGCTGCGGTTGTAAGGGCTGCCAACTCCCCTGCTCTAAGTGCTGTTGCTTGGCCCTCTGGGGACCCTACCATACCCTCCGCTAGGCCCTGGAGACACACAAGATTAGTCCTGTCATTCCGGCCCTGGCCATTCGCTGGATGGCGGTGGTCACGAGTGGCAGTGGCCACCACAACCTGAAGCAGCCTATTCCACTCATCATACCACAGGGTGTATTGTACAGGTTCAAGGATGACACGCATAAGATTGACCACATCATATGGCAGGAGGCTAGAAGCCATAAGAGCTTCTACTGCCGACATGGTCACAGGAGAGCGCAGACCTTTACTTTTAACCAAATCCGCAAGGCGAGTAATTGCCTTGGAGTCCAGAGGGGTCCAAGCTGGACCCTCTGTTTTTACTACTACAGGGAGGGCAAATGCCGTAGCTGTCGGATCTGCCGTTCGTAAATCCTCCCTCGCCCTAGCCCAGTCAGTGAGTGTAGGTGGGGCCCATGAGGCAGTCACTGCAGGATCCCGCCCTCCCTGGGTGAATCCCGAGGCTGCTCGCACCGGGATGCCACACCCACATCCTTCACAAGATGGAGTGGAACATTCCAGCCCCTTTTGGGAGCTGCTGCGGCAACAAACAGAGTCAGGCAGCGAGGAAGCACCGCCCCCACTCTCACATTTCACCAGCCGCGCTGTACCCTCTCCGGCCAGCTTGCCCTCCCCCACTGCCCTCTTAACAGGTGTAGAACAAGCTATGTTACATTCCTCCGCACCTCCCCCTCCCCCCTCATCCCTGAAGGGTTTCAATGAAGGATATAAACCCTGAGCTGGATAAGGAGGCGGGGATGGAGCCTCTCCGTCCCTGCGGTCCGACGATCCCTGCCGGACTTCCTCCCTTCTTGGTGTCGAAGCTGATGCCTCGGGCGGGGCTGCGGTGACCGGCCCCGACTTGCCCTCCAGCAAACCTGCAGCAGAGACAAGATCTCCCCCCGTCCCCAGCCCTAACAGCTCCCTAGCTCGATCACTCGCCATTTTCTCCTCCCTCGCCATCTTAAACGCCCCCAAAATCAATCCCCACACCTTGAACTCTGCCGCCTTTTGGGTAGTCATTGCCCTCTTAGAGAGCGCGGCAGTGAACCCATCCCAATTAGCGGGATCGTATAAGTCAGAGGGAGACGCCAATAAGCCCTCCACCTCCAGCAGCGAAAGAACCGCTGCAACCTCCTTCTTAGAAGGAACACTTCTTGCACAATAGGTCTTACATGTGCGAAGAATCACCTTGATAACGGCTTCCATCGCCCCAGGCTAAGCACGCCTCTAGCCTTCACCGGGCGCTTCCCCGAGCTTCTCGGGGGATCCTGGCTCTTTTTCCTGAGCCTCCCGCCTGACAAGGAGTAATGCGCACTCCTCCCCGTCCCCGGGCTTCCACTACTCTGCGGGTTTTATAACGTACCCGCTCCACAATGGGATCCTGCACCGCTGGCAGAACAGCTGACTCACCCCCAGAAATCACGTCAGGGTCACCATTTGTTGTAACCTTCACCTGTTCGTTTTTTCTGGGAGACTGCAGCTTGGCCAATTACCGAGGTGACACCAATATGGTGAACAGCAAAATGGCGCTTTAATGGAACGAACACATGCTTATATATGGAGGGGGAGGTCCTAACGCGTTACAACCCGAAGATGGCGCAAGCGCCTAATACAACAGGTGTGGGCGTTCCTGGATGTGCCCAGTCCCCCGGATCCCCGACGTCTCCTGTTTTACATGCTCGCTGAGGTCTTCGGGGCTTGGTGTCGGTTGTCCCTCGTGCTCATGTTGCTTTCACCGGGAGTACTTCCTCTCCCTATGCTCAGCTCTGCCCAGTGCTGATTGGATGTCAGTGCCACCTGCTGCTCTCAATAAAAGATAGGTTTGATTTCTTTTGGTTTCCATAGCATTTGCTACACTTTCATTCTGTCTCTCTTCTTTTTTTTTCTTTTTGCTCTCAATAAATGGCAGGTTCAATTCATTTTGGCTCCTGTAGTATTTGCTACACTTCTGTTCTGTGTTCTGTTTCTCTTCTCTTTTTTCCATGTTGCCTGGCGGTGCCTCGCTGGAGTTCCCATGAGCCTCGGGCCCACTTGTGACCAAGTGAGGTGCCAAAAACAGAGGTATCTCCTAAACAGGCTTCTGCTGAGTGCTGTCCTCGTCTTGGGGCTTGTGCAATGCCCACCTTTCTTTTCTAACCCGCTTTGTTGAGGACGGCGTGTGAGGCTTTCTTCTTTCTTTGTAGGATTTGTGACTCCACCACCAGAAGTAGCAGGCATTTTGGGACGTCCAAGGTTCCGCAGTGAGCGTGTCCTGTTCCTGGTAAAGGTGTGGGTGTTCCTGGACACAAAGGTATCTATCTTCATGCCTTGCCCATGTACCGAGTCCCCCACCAGATGCTGTTTGCCTTTTGGCCCCCCTGATTTGCTGCACTGCTGCGCCCTGATCCTTGCAGAGGGGTAAGTGACATCTTTGTCCCTTCCGGAATGCGCTCTCCACTTTCCTCTCGTTGGTCATCGGCAGCACCGTCCCTCTCTCGCCAGTCTCTCATTGGTCATCGACAGTGCCATCCCGCCCCCTTGTGCCTATTATCTGTCATCGGCAGCGCAGTCCTGCCTTCATATGCCTCTGTTTGTCATCGGCAGCGCTGTCCCACCCTCACCAGTCTTTCATTGGCCATGGGCAGCTCCGTCCCACCTCCGCCAGCATCTCATTGTTCAGCAGCAGCCTGTTCCCTTCGCCTTTTCCCTTCGCCTTTTCGCCTTTCCTTTTCCTTTTTCTTATGTCCTGTTCTTTCCTTCCTGGTCCCTCTTTTTATGTCCCTTCCCCACTTTTATCTCCCCATTTTTGCCCCTTTTTCTACCTGTTCTCCGCTCTACTTTTCACCTCCTCATATCCGTTTCTTTACCCCCCTTTCTCATTCTTCTATTCCCCTTTCCCTTCGTCTTCCTTTTTCTTTTGCCACCATTACTTTCCTCTTCTTCGCCCTCTTCTTCTTCTTTTTGCCCCCATCCCCACTTCCCCTTTCACCCTGCATTTTATAAAGAGCAGCAGGGGGCACTGACATCCCATCAGTACTGGGCAGAACTGAGCATGGGGAGAGGAAGAACACCCGGTGAAAGCAACGTGAGCACAAGGGACAAGCGACACCAAGCCCCAAAGGACCTGAGAGAGCGTGTGAAACAGGAGATGTCAGGGATCCACGTACCTTGGCGCAGAGCCTCAGGAGCAGACCCTGGCATCCAGCAGCGGCTGTGCTTTCCTGCTGCATCCAACAAAGTCTTTCTCGCAGTCCTCACACTGCTTAGAAGAGCAAGCTGTGTCCGGAACCTCGAGCCGAGCAGAATGCGACGAGCAAGGAGCTGGGCATCAATCTCAAGGCCAACAAGTCGGTCCCTCCCAAACCTCACTGCTCACCCAACCTCACTGACACCAGAAGTCCAGGCACACATCTGAGCCCTGCGATTCCCAGCCCTTCCATGAGCTCAGGCTGGGCTCTGGCTCCACCCAGTCCCACCCCCGGCTTCATCGCACCCACCTGTGCTTCCACCCTGCTGCTGTCATCCTGCACCACCTTGTCCATCATTCCTTCACTCTCTTCTGTAACAGGATGAGGGGGAAGAAAGGAGAGAGAGAGCAAAGAGCAAAAAGGGAACAGGGAACAACAGAGAAAAAAGAGAGAAAAAAGGGGTGGGGAAAAAAAGGGAAAAATGGGGTACAGGGACAGAAGAAAGGGGACATGAGGTGGGGGAGAAGCGGAGCTGGGGATGAAGAAGAGGAAAGGGGAAAAAAGAATAGGGGAATGTGAAGAGAAAAAGGGGGCAAAGAATGCAAGAAGAGATGAGGGAAGGCGGGGAAAAGGCGGGATAGCAGGAAGTGCATGAGAAGGACAAAAGGAAAAGGGGGACGAGGGAGGAAAAAAGGAAAAGGGGGACGAGGGGGAAAAAAAGGAAAAGGGGGACAAGGGAGGAAAAAGGGGGACGAGGGAGGAATCAGGGCCGTCGCACTCAGCAGCGCTGTCCTGCTGCGTGGGAACGTGAGGAGGCTGTGAGGCTCCCAGCTGCTCCCCTCTGTCCTCCTGCCAAGCTCAGCGCTGCGGAAAATCGGACGGATGAGCAGAATGACGAGCAGCGGGAAGGGCAAGAATGGCAGGGGGGAATGAAGCAATTCAGAGGCTGTGTCTGTGTTGATGCTGAAAACCTGAGGGCCACAAGTTCCGACCACACGTTCGTGATGATAGCAGTGGTGAGAAAGCAATGAAGGCCTGCGTGTGTTTGGGCAGCAAAGATGTGCGTCTGCTGGCTGTTTGTGCGAGTGGTGAAGCGTTGCCAAAAAGGGGAACCTGCAGCGCTCAGCCAATGAGGAGCCAGGGCAGGAAGAGCTCAGCAGCGGGCAATATGGGAGCCAAGATGCAGCGCTGCTGCTTGGGGCTCTGCTGCTCGCAGGAGCTGCTATCGCACTGCGATGGAATCGGCTTCGAAAGAAAAGGGTACAATAGGGAAGGAAAAAGGAATGGGGTGGAGGGGGGGAAAGGAAAGGGGAGAAAGAGGAAAAGGAAAACAAAAAAGGGGGACGGGGCGAAAAGGGAGATGGGGAGGAAAAGGGGCAAAGGGGGTGAAAGGGGAAGTGGGGATGGGGGCAAAAAGAAGAAGAAGGGGGCAAAGAAGAGGAGAGTAAAGGGGGCAAAAGGGAAAGGAAGACAAGAGGTGAAAGGGGAAAAGAAGAATGAGAAAGGGAGGAAAAAGAAAAGGAGATGAGGAGGAGAAAAGGAGAGAGGAGAAGCGGGGGAAAAAGGGGCAAAAAAAGGAGAGATAAAAGGGGGAAAGGGACAGTAAAAAGGGGACCTGGAAGGAAAAAACAGGACATGAGAAGAAGGAAAAGGAAAAAGGAAAAGAAGCAGGGGGAAAGTGAAGAGAAAGGCGGGGAAGAGGCGACGAGCCTGGCGTCGAGCCTGGCGTCGAGCACTGTGCTTAATATTAAACGAATCGTATTCCAATCCGCTCCGTTTCTACGTGCACAGAAGAGCCCGCTACTTGCAGAAACGCAGCCGGTGGCAGTCCCCCTTTCCCGGCGACCGAGAAAAAACGAGACCGCTGCTGGAGGCTGCTAGCGGCATCCGGGGAGAAGCGCGTATGTTCGGACATGAGTGCAAACGCTCCGGAGCGGTTCTCGCTATTGCCGCTTTCGAACGGGGGTGCGTAGTAGTGCCATTCCGCTGCCAAGAAGGTGCCCATTCTGCCAGCCGCGATCCTGTCGACCATGATTTTCATGTCCGCACTTCAGGAAGGATCCCTCGAGTCTTTTTTCGAATGCGCTCCCAAACAGCACAGCATCTGTCGCTGCTCGAATTTCCCGGGTCCTCTTCTGAGAGGCTTACACTTCCGACTCTTGTCGTCACATAATGCAGACGCTTAGCCACTAAGAAGACAACCACCACGAATTGTCTCTGCACCGATAGGCGTGGACGCAACCTGCATGCCTGGTGTCGAGCACTGTGCTTAATATTAAACGAAACGTATTCCAATCCGCTCCGTTTCTACGTGCACAGAAGAGCCCGCTACTTGCAGAAACGCAGCCGGCGGCAGTCTCCCTTTCCTGGCAACCGAGAAAAAAGGAGACAGCTGCTGCAGGCTGCAATCGGCATTCGGGGAGAAGCGCGATTGCTCGGACGCGAGTGCAAACGCTCCGCAGCGGTTCTCGCTATTGCCGCCATCGAACCGGGAGAGAGAGGTAGTGCCATTTCTGTTGCAGGAACACGCCAATTCCGCCTGCCGCGTTCCTCTCGATGGGGTTTTTCATATGTCCGCACTTCAGGAAGGATTCCTCGAGTCTTCTTTCGAATGCGCTCCAAAACAGCACAGCATCTGTCGCTGCTCGAATTTCCCGGGTCCTCTTCTGAGAGGCTTATACTTTCAACTCTTGTCGTCACATAATGCAGACGCTTAGCCACGGAGAAGACAACTACCACGAATTATCGCTGGACAGACAGGCATGGGCGCAAACTTCATGCCAGGCCTCGAACATTCTGCTTATTTTTAAACGAAACGAATTTCCATCAGATCTTTTCCTACGTGCACAGGAGAGCCCGCTACTTGTAGAAACGCAGCCGGCGGCAGTCTCCCTTTCCCGGCGACCGAGAAAAAAGGATACCGCTGCTGCAGGCTGCAATCGGCATTCGGGGAGAAGCGCGATTGCTCGGACGCGAGTGCAAACGCTACGGAGCAGTTCTCGCTATTGCCGTTTCGAACCGGGAGAGAGAAGTAGTGCCATTCCGCTGCCAAGAATGTGCCCATTCTGCCAGCCGCGATCCTGTCGACCATGATTTTCATGTCCGCACTTCAGGAAGGATCCCTCGAGTCTTTTTTCGAATGCGCTCCCAAACAGCACAGCATCTGTCGCTGCTCGAATTTCCCGGGTCCTCTTCTGAGAGGCTTATACTTCCGACTCTTGTCGTCACATAATGCAGACGCTTAGCCACGGAGAAGACAACCACCACGAATTGTCTCTGCACCGATAGGCGTGGACGCAACCTGCATGCCTGGTGTCGAGCACTGTGCTTAATATTAAACGAAACGTATTCCAATCCGCTCCGTTTCTACGTGCACAGAAGTGCCCGCTACTTGCAGAAACGCAGCCGGCGGCAGTCTCCCTTTCCTGGCAACCGAGAAAAAAGGAGACCGCTGCTGGAGGCTGCAATCGGCATTCGGGGAGAAGCGCGATTGCTCGGACGCGAGTGCAAGCGCTCCGCAGCGGTTCTCGCTATTGCCGCCATCGAACCGGGAGAGAGAGGTAGTGCCATACCTATTGCAGGAACGTGCCAATTCCGCCTGCCGCGTTCCTCTCGATGGGGTTTTTCATATGTCCGCACTTCAGGAAGGATTCCTCGAGTCTTTTTTCGAATGCGCTCCAAAACAGCACAGCATCTGTCGCTGCTCGAATTTCCCGGGTCCTCTTCTGAGAGGCTTATACTTTCGACTCTTGTCGTCACATAATGCAGACGCTTAGCCACGGAGAAGACAACTACCACGAATTATCGCTGGACAGACAGGCATGGGCGCAAACTTCATGCCAGGCCTCGAACATTCTGCTTATTTTTAAACGAAACGAATTAACATCAGATCTTTTCCTACGTGCACAGAAGAGCCCGCTACTTGTAGAAACGCAGCCAGCGGCAGTCGCCCATTCCTGGCGACCGAGAAAAAAGGAGACCGCTGCTGCAGGCTGCAATCGGCATTCGGGGAGAAGCGCGATTGCTCGGACGCGAGTGCAAACGCTACGGAGCGGTTCTCGCTATTGCCGTTTCGAACCGGGAGAGAGAAGTAGTGCCATTCCGCTGCCAAGAATGTGCCCATTCTGCCAGCCGCGATCCTGTCGACCATGATTTTCATGTCCGCACTTCAGGAAGGATCCCTCGAGTCTTTTT